GTGCGGGGCCTGCCTGCGGCAGTACCTGCGCATCGAGATCACCGAGTCCCGCGTCAACATCTGCTGCCCCGAGTGCAGCGAGCGCCTCAACCCCGCCGACATCCGCCGCCTGCTCCGCGACTCCCCGCACCTCGTCGCCAAGTACGAGGAGTTCATGCTGCGCCGCTGCCTCGCCGCCGACCCCGACTGCCGCTGGTGTCCGGCCCCCGACTGCGGGTGAGTGCTGCGGGGGACAAGGGGTGGCGGTGCGATGCTTCCACTCCGGCCTGGGACAGCCCGGGAAACGAGGGACCTGCTCGTCTCTCCATCCTGGGACACCCTGGGGAGCGGGGAGCCTGCTGTCCCCGTAGGGTGCTGTTCTCTCTATCCTGGGACAGCGTATGGAGGGGGAGACCACTGTCCCTTCCATCGTGGGACAGCTTGGCCGGGGAAGCCTGCTGTTTCCTTAGGATGCTGCCCTGTCTGTCTGTCCTGGGATGTCTTGGGGAAGGTGGATCCCTGCCCTGGAGGGATGCTGGCTGTCCCCAACACGTGCTGGGATAACTGGGTGAAGTGGAAACCACTGTGAGTTGCTGCCTATCCCAGCAGGTCCTGCGGATGGCATTCCAGCTGGGATGGCCCTGGGACTCGGTGTCCTGCCCGTCCCCGCGTGGGTCCCAGGACAACACAGCGAGGGTGGCTCACCCTCAGTAGGGTGCTGCTGCTGCTGCTGCACTTCTGGTCCTACTGTGTCCCGTGAAGAGCCCTCGCTGCAGGGGTTCTTTGCTTATCTGCAGTCTGTTCAGGACAGCCGATAAGCTTTGGGTACCAAAATTCCATCTATCCCTATTATCTCTCTTGAGCACCAGGATTTGACCTTGGGGATTGTGAAAACACAGACAAATCGGGTAGGAGCGATATGACTTGAAGGGGGTTTTAGCAGAGCCATCGTTTCCCTAATTTAACAGAAACCTCTTTTTCTGCACAAATGGTAAGTGTGGACTTTCCCAGCTGTGTGTTTCGCTGCCAGTCCTGGGGACAGTGCATGGGGACAAAGCTGCAGCCTCCAGAAGTGGGGAAGAAGAAACCATAACCAGTCAGTTTTTTCCAGTGAGGACTTGAATACACGGCAGAGAGGAGTGATGTTGACTCACTGTCCGTTGCCCAAGTGAGGAAACGTCTGTTTGTCCAGAAGTCAGCCCAGCCAAGCCTGAGGACTGCGTAGTTACGGATGTGTTGCTTTCATTTTCTCTTCCCGTTTCTTGTAAACGATCAGTTAGGTTTCTGTTTTGGTGTGAGCCAAAGCTGCCTGGAAAAGGGCTTTGTCGGGGAACTTAAGAGAAGTGCTGTGAAGTTGAGCTACAACTCAGCTTGGATGGCAATTTTGGGTAGCAAGAACATGAAAGGAAAGTCTGACCTAGTAGTCGGGACGGAAAAGGTGGTGGGAGGATTGTGAAGATTTAATCAGAGCCTTGTAATAGGCATCCTATGCAAATCAGCGAACCTGGCTCAGGTTACCCATTTCACGGCCTCTTGAGCATCCTGTATGAGGGCTTGTTCCTTCAGAGGGTGAAGTTAACAGCGAACAACACCTCTGCTCCTTTCTGGAGCCAAATCAAGTGCAGGCTCTCGGCACTTCAGCAGCGCTGGGGATAAGATCGGGGAGATAGAGCAGATTGTGCTGCCACCGAGGGAATTTTCTCTGCCGGTAGCCGGCTAGAGAAAATCCGGTTCCAGCTCACCGAATCTCAGCTCCTTGACTGTTGTGATGTTATCTGTGCCCAGGATAAGGTGTACAAACAGCGACGTCACCCGGGCTGGCTGGTTGGAAGGAGCCAGCTCCAGCGCGGCCCGGAGGGCGTTGTCTCTGTGACAGCCTGAGCCCTTCCTCTGGGGAGGGTTGGGCAGCCCGGTGTCACACACGGCTCCTTCCCTCAGCTAAAGCCTCCTCCCCAGTTAGTCAGCGAGCAGGATGAGCCAGGTGATGTGCTGCTATCCTCCTCCCAGCTGCTCAGAAGAGCAAGAAGCGAGCCCGGGGCAGTTGGAGATGTTGGAGACAGCTCTGGTGGACCAGCGCTGCTGGTGTGTCTGTAGCGCTCGAACAAAGGCTGTTGGAATCAGCCCTCCGGCAGGGAGAGGAATTAATCACCCTATTCATTCTTCCCAGCAGAGCTTGTGTGGCTGTGCTTATGTAAAATCAGGGTATGAATTATTTACAGCGGGCTTTCCCCGCTGTAGTAGTGCCAGAGTACAGGAGCCTAGGGCTGGGGGCACGGCAGAGTGATGCTTGTCACTGATTGTCACCCACCACTGTCACCCGAACTGAAACTCTCCAACAACGTCATTTCAGTGTCAGAGAATCCTTTATTCTTTGTTCTGGCCGGGATGTGCAGCAGAAATAATTTCATCCACACGTGCCCGGCTTGTGCAGTGAAAATCCTTCCATCCCACCTGGTTCTTTACCAGATTCTTCACATATTGATACATTAAAAACCCCAAAGAAATTCTGTTCATTTGTCTTAATGATCATTATCATTACACAATAATTCGATCTCCTATTGTTTATTGATCCATTCGATGCTAATTCGGCCTTCATTCTTTGGTTCTCTTATCGATCTTTTCCCAGACCAGATGTCTCCAGCGTCACCAGGGGGTGATGTTTGTCAATGTCCGTTTATCTCTTGTTTCTTCTGGCTCCTCCCAATCTGTTGATGTTCACCTCACCCGGGCTTTTGAAGAGGAACTTCAATTCCCCTCCACCTGGGCAAAGGCAAACAAAACCCCTGAGTGAAGTTAAAACAACAACAACAAAAAAAAATTTGCTAAAAGTTGTATCATTTCCAATGCCACCAAGGTAGACCGGCCTGGGTGTCACCCCCACCGAGGTGGTGGCATCAAGGAGCTGCAGGGCTGTGACAGGGCCATAAAAACATCCTGTGCCTTCCTCGCATCCCGAAGTGTTTCCTAAATGAAAGAGCCTGGCTGTGCTGCCCGAGAGGAGGAGGAGGAGGAGGAGAGCACAACACCGGTGCGTGTTGCCATGGAAACCCTGGTCAATGGATGCGCCATCAATTGCAAAACAAATCATTTTCTGTGTTTGCAGCTTCGGGGTTTTTTTCTTTCCCCCCTTGCTACAATCAGGTGGTATTGCTGCCTAGTGTTTGTCACACTGCAGCCTTCCCAAAAGCCTGGGAGAAAAACAGAACCTTTAAAGAGAACGGAGCTGTGTGGGCTGAGATCCGTGAATGGGCAGGAGGAGGGACGGAGGAAACTCGTGGCTGTCCAAGGAGGGGGCTGGAAGAGGAGCTGTGCCATTCCTGGGGTCTCAGGAATTGCTTTGTGGGGAAAACTCAGGGAGGAGATCTCAGCTTCCCTTCTTATCTGCTGGGTGTGAGCCTGAAAATGGCCATTTAAGCCAGCAGTGTGTCAAGAGGTCAGTGGAAGAGGAGAACCATTGTCCATCCAGGTCCTGCCATCACTATTCCTCAGCATTTCACTTCAAAATCCACTTTCTAGTTGACCTTGATGTGGAGATGTGTTATTTCTTTCCCCACTAGACAGTCCTGGAGCTTCTTTCCCCACAGCTGTGGGCTTGTGCATGATATTTGTCATTTCAGCTCCAGTAATAAAATATAAATGCTGATGATTTTAATTTCTTGAGTGTTTAAAAAAACCCAAAGTTTTGTGTGAGGCGTTAATTTAGAGTGTGGGGTTTCTTAATATATTACACTGAGCTCTCCTAGGCTGCTCTTATGGTTTGAAATAGCAGTGTCACAACACAGCTGGGCAGAGGAAGCTTTCCCTTTCTGTTTTTCCAAGGGCAGGCTGGAGGATTGAGGACATTTAGCAGGATATTCCTTACAAAGGTGCACAGGAGTCAGATTCATCCCTCCCAACCCCCTGGGCCATCTGCATCACAGAATTATCATACAGGAACACAGTGGTTTGGGTTGGAAAGGACCTTAAAATTCATCCAGTCATGGGCTGGGACACTTCCAGGGATGGGATTTTCCCATGTCTCCTCCTGCTGGGCTCAGGGGCAGGTGTGGGGATGCTCAGGTAGAGCTGCAGTCGTGCCTGCCAGCCCTCAGATGTTGTTTCTTTGGCAATGCTGTCGTAGCCTGGCAGGATGAAGTTGCTCAAACTCCCACGGGATATGAATCATTGTGGTATGACACATTCAGTGGTTCTCACGCTGCTGCCTCGGAGAAGAAGAGGCAAATACAACTCGAGCCACACGAGCTCCAAATATGAAACCTTAAATAGGAATTATTCTCCTCTGACCACTAGCAAAAATACTGAGGATGAGAAACAAAAATTCCCTTTTGCCATATGGGTGTCGCAGGACTGGGAAGGCACTTCTGGAGTTGCTCATGTCAGCCCCTGCCAATGGAAACAGCCTCATCCTCAGCGTCTGTCAGTCAGATTTCTGCAGCACTGCTTGGTGATGCTGCTCAGGCTGCTGGGTACACAGGACACTTCCTTCTGGGAGTGTCACACTGCTGTCACGGTGAGCTGGTTGAGCTTGGCCTCTCTCTCTTGCACAGTTGATTATTTTACTCCAGTTTTGGCGTGTTCCAAAGGCAGGGCGTTGTTCTTTACCACTCTTTGGAAAAGGAAGCTCTGTGGAGATCATCAGGAGCTCGCTTGTTGACTTATGGAACTGTTATTCCACTTTTTTAGAATCATTCAGCTGATAGAAGTGCCCAGGACAAGCTCAGCTTTCCTGGGCTCCTCTGGACCACAAGGCATCCACCCACAGATCTGTGCTAAGGAAATGAAGGATGAAATGAGGGATGTGTGTGCCTGGAACGAGCAGCCAGAGCCCATCCTGGGAGGAGACAGCAAGGAGTTAGCTGGGCACACTGGGCCAGACAAATCTGGCCTGCTTGAATTGCCAGTGAGAACTGCCAGCAGTTACTGAGGAGAGAACAGCTCAGCATCTCCAGCTGCCTGCGTGGAAGGTCCCTGCCCCGAGTAACCCAATTAGCACAGCTTCATTTCAGGCCCTGCAGAGCGCAGGAATGTGTCTGGTGTGGAAGCTGCTGTAGCAGTGATCAGGAGTGAGATGGGGGAGCTGGGCTGCTGGCTCTGGATGTCCTGCAAGGACTCTCACTTGGTAACTGCATGTTTTAATCCCCTCGGCGTCTCCTCCCCGCAGGTACGCGGTGATCGCCTACGGCTGTGCCAGCTGCCCCAAGCTGACCTGCGAGAGGGACGGCTGCCAGACAGAGTTCTGCTACCACTGCAAGCAGATATGGCACCCCAACCAAACCTGCGACATGGCCCGGCAGCAGCGGGCACAGACCCTGCGGGTACGGACCAAGCACACCTCGGGCCTCAGCTACGGGCAGGAGTCCGGGCCGGGTATGGATTTACCCATTTTTCATTCAATATCCCAAGCTGGGTATGGATTTACCCATTTTTCATTCAATATCCCAAGCTGGGTATGGATTTACCCATTTTTCATTAAATATCCCAAGCGGGGTATGGATTTACCCATTTTTCATTCAATATCCCAAGCTGGGAGAGACCCACTAGGCTCCAACTCTCTGCCCCAAGAGTCACACCCTGATTTTTTTGGTTGCTCGCTGTTTGTGTGTGCTGAGAAAGAGGCAGCTCTGTGCAAACCTCCTCCCCTCAAAGCCTGTGCCCTGAGTTTCTCCAGCAGCTGTGAAACTCAGAGTCATTTCCCCTCCTCCTGTGTGTTAGAACACATCTGATCTCTTCCAGCAGCACCAAACAAATCAGTGGGTGACGATGTGCTTTGGGTCCTTTTGTGTCACGGCAACTCCCCTCATCCGCCCCAGCTCTGCTTGTGGCTCTTTTGATCTTGGATGTTCTCGCTTTTTTGCTGATCTAAACCCTGAACAAGCAGTCACTTTTTTACTGTTGCAGCTTCAAAGTTGTCTGGTGTGGTCGTGAAGAGCAGCATTCATGGCCAGCTGAGTGTGGGGAGCTGTGCTCTGTGCACTGTTAGGTCTTGGCAATGGCAGGTACCAAAAAAATGCCAACCCACAGAACTCCTCCACTGCCTGGTAGGAGCTGCTGTGTCTGCTGAGTTTGTGTTCCTTAAAAATAACTCTATTGACTCTGGAAGTGGGCAGTGAGGCCATTTTTTAAAGCCCTGTCCTACCCCCTAACAAAATACCTCGTTTTTCCTTCTGTGTGAGGAGTTTAAATATTAATTCACTCAGTGTGGAGCTGTCGTGGGTGGTTCTGGTGTGGCTATATCCAACATCTCCCAGTTTAGAGAACCCTAAGAATGGACAGCATAGATACTGCCCTAGCCAGCAGAAAAACCCAGTGTATGAGTTTTTGTGTCCTGTTAAAGAGATCCCTGCCAGGAAAGGGCACTTGGCCACGGGAAGGGAGGTTTTTGAGACAGTGGTTTCTCCCCACCCCGCCGTGCTGGATCCAGCCTGGTGATTAATAAGGTGTGAGCCGGGCTCACAGCTGGATTTCATCTTGCTGAGCTTCGCAGGGGCCAGCAGAGCCCCGAACCACGGCACAGCCATTGCATAACCACCATCAGATGATGCCTGAATTAAGGAAGGGATGAAAGCCCCTTATCCTGCTCTGCCAGCAGCAGGCTCTGGGGCCTGGGCAGCCTCTGCAGCTGTGTGTGGCTGCAGCCCCTGATCCCTTAAAGGCCAGGTTTGGGGTTTCTCCAGTGCCTGTTCTCCCAGTTGTTGTGTTGTTCTTGGCCCATGAATCACCTCCGTGGAGCAATTCAGTAATGGCTCGTTGTGCTGGGCAGGTATGACTTGTTCCCTGTGTTTAAGCTTGAATTCTGGAATACATCCCATTCAAGATTAGAAGAAGCTTTTAAAAGTGGCTGTTGTTCCCAGTCCCTGCTGTTGGTGGGGTCTGTCGCATCCAAATTATCTCCTCTGAGATAAAATAAACACACACCACCCCCCGCCAGCAGCAAAGGTGTTCTGCCACACAGAAAACACAGCTTGCAGTTTCAATCCTTAATGAGAACGGTTGATTCTCCACTCTGACAGCAGAGATCCCATCTGAATTCCTTGTTTCCTCCCCTCAGCCGATGACATCAAGCCGTGCCCACGCTGCAGCGCTTACATCATCAAGATGAACGATGGCAGCTGCAACCACATGACGTGTGCCGTGTGTGGCTGTGAGTTCTGCTGGCTCTGCATGAAGGAGATCTCGGATCTGCATTACCTCAGGTGAGCAGCACCTGCCTCTCTCAGGCTGCCTGGAGGAGTTCACTGCCCCTGTTGGACTTTCACCCTCTTACTTCAGCAGTATTATATATATTTATTGTTTCTGACCCAAAGGAATGAACTCTCTTCCCACTTTACAGCATTCAGATGCTCTTCCCACACTAAACAAAGCTCCTGATACGATTACTTTTGAGAGTTTTTGGTGTACTGAGAATTAAACATAGACCCAGTAGTGTGATATTCACCTTTTTGGGGAAAAAAAGGACAGAAACCTTATTTGTGTTGTCTACCTGCTTCCTAAGTTTTGGGTTTTATTCATGTGCAAGTTGAACTTGGGGTTCTCAGGAGCTTTTAGGAATTGCTGGAGTGCTAATGTCATTTTTTTTCCCTTCCATGAAGCCCCTCTGGCTGTACATTCTGGGGCAAAAAGCCATGGAGTCGTAAAAAGAAGATTCTCTGGCAGCTGGGCACGTTGATCGGAGCCCCTGTGGGCATTTCCCTCATCGCTGGCATTGCCATTCCTGCCATGGTCATTGGCATCCCTGTGTACGTTGGGAGGAAGGTGAGTGTGGGGGGCAGAAGGCTTTGGGGTGTTCCCTGTGCTGACCAGAAATTTAGAGCTGATAGGAAGGGTGGATCTTGTCACAGAACCCAAATTCAGTTTTCTCTTCTATAGCTTCCCTTATCTCCTGGGCTTTGTGTGGGCAGGGGGAAGGTGGTGGCTGATAGCCCTGGTAGCCTGAAGGGGCTCAAGTCCTCCCAAATGCATTTTGCATTTCTCTTGCACCTCTGCCTCGACCCATGAGCAGCCTGGGGATCCCTTCTGAGCCCATCAGCCCTGTACTTGTGGTTGCTTCTTTTCCTTCAACACAGACCCTCCTGCTAGGTCTGATCTGTGAGGAGATCTGTGCTCAAAATAAGGTTCTTCAAGGGTTCACACATCTAGCAAGGCTGTAAAATCACTTCTTAACGTCCTCTAGATGTCTGCTGTTCTCACCTGGTGCTTCTTCTTCCATCAGATTCACAGCAGATACGAGGGGAAGAAAACCTCCAAGCACAAGAGGAACTTGGCCATTACTGGTGGGGTCACCTTGTCTGTCATTGCCTCCCCAGTCATTGCTGCTGTCAGTGTTGGTAAGTGGGCTCAGCCCTGTCCCCTCTGCTGGCCCAGTAGCCACTGAGACCAGTGGGTAGCCCAGCCCTGTGCCATGGGGGTGGCCAAAGGGCGATTTGCAGAGTGCAGCTGTGTGTGGGTTTGGGCACAACTCTCTGTCTCACATCCTGATGAGCTCGAGCTGCCCCAGAGCCAGCACAGGGCTTGTCTGCAGCACAACTTGGTCCAGATGGCCACAGCCCATCCTGGAGTCCCTTGTCACACTGCAGCTGTCTCCTGCCATGATTTGGTGGCTGATGTCTTGGGACTTCAGTGCTCTTGGGGTTCCCTCACTCAGAACAAAGGGCTCCTCCACTGTCTGCAAATCTGTGAACTGTGGGACCTTTAAAAACAACAAAAACATTACTGAGAGAGTCCCTCAAAAACCTTTTCTGTCTGCCCAACACATCTTTAAACACCTCCTAACCCAGCTTATCCTCCTCTCCAGGAATTGGGGTCCCCATCATGCTGGCCTACGTCTATGGGGTGGTGCCCATCTCGCTGTGCCGGGGTGGTGGCTGTGGGGTCAGCACAGCCAACGGAAAGGGAGTGAAAATCGAGTTTGATGAAGATGATGGACCCATCACAGGTAATAACTGCTGATGGGAAGGGGTTGAAGCAAAATGCTCTCGTTGTTGCCTCTTGTAATGAAATGGTTTGAAGTCCTGATGTTTCCCAAATCTGAGATGAGACATCACAGCCAAGTGCTCCAACCCCTGTGCTCTCCTTCCTCGCAGTGGCCGATGCCTGGAGAGCCCTGAAGAACCCCAGCATTGGAGAGAGCAGCATTGAGGGGCTGACCAGCGTGCTGAGCACCAGTGGCAGCCCCACGGACGGGCTCAGTGTCATCCAGGGCAACTACAGCGAGACCGCCAGCTTCGCTGCCCTGTCCGGGGGCACCCTGAGCGGGGGGGTCCTCTCAGGGAGCAAGGGGAAGTACAGCAGGTAACTGGACTGTGGGGAAAGCAGAGAGGTTCCCAAGGCCTCTTGTGTGGGTTTGAGTGGCTTTATTTTAAGGAGCTTTCCAGGAGTGTGAGTGAAGCTGCTTTGATCCAGGGGTTGTGTCATGGTGTTTTTGTGCCTTGGTCTGTTGTAGAATAAGCAAGTCTAGGAGATCACCCAGATCTGGAACCCAGAGCCACCCAGGGTGGGGAGACACTGGCACAGATTGCCCAGAGAGGTTGTGGGGTCCCCATCCTCGGGGATGTTCCAGGACCAGGTTGGATGGGGCTCTGAGCAGCCTGGTCTAGGGGAAGGTATCCCTGCTCGTGGCAGGGGGTTGGAGCTGGATGATCTTTAAGGTCCTTTCCAACCCAAACCATTCCATGGTTCTGTTTCTGGAGTCAGTGCCAGTCTGGTTCTTGCAAGGAGGACAGATCCCTACTGAGCTCCTTGAGACCACAGAGCTGATGCTTCAGCTTAATTGGGAACAGCACAGAGCTCCTGCCTGGCCTGCTTAAAGCTATTCCAGCCCTGTTATCCCAGCCTGGAGGCTTTGATGCTTTCTGTTCTGCAGGCAGGGTCACAGCTCTCCAAGTCAGGAGGTTACACCACAGTTTTCCTCCCAACTTGCCTGTGAGTCAGTTTGCTGGGTAATTAGAGCCACGTGTTGATGTGGCAGCCAGGATGTAATCACAGCTCTGTGCGAGATCCATGGAAATCAGCTCTTCGCAGGAATCGTGTGAGTCATGGATGTAAACACGGCTTTACCTTCGTCATGGAAAACAGAATGGATTTACCTAAATGGAGCCAAAAATGAGACTCAATGAGAGCAACCACTGGGGTTAAACTCCTGTCACTCTCAGCTATGCCAGCTCACGGGGATTCTTGCTTTCCTGTGAGGAGCAGAGACAGCTTGGTGCTCCTTGGGTGCATCTAAAGCATTTCTGAGGAATCCTCTTCTTCCTTGCAGGCTGGAGGTCCAGGCAGATGTCCAAAAGGAGATTTTCCCCAAAGACTCGGTCAGTTTGGGGGCCATCAGCGACAATGCCAGCACCCGAGCCATGGCTGGTTCCATCATCAGCTCCTACAACCCTCAGGACAGGTGGGAGGACGTGGAATGCTGAGAAGAGCGTTGGTGGAGAGTGTCCTGGAAAAATGCACGCTGCTGTGGGTGGGATGGCTGTGTTTGCTCCAGGGATCCATCCTTCTCTGAGCTGGGGAGGATATCTGTGTGGGGTGGAGGCTGGGAAGGGGATCTGCAGCCCTCCGGGGCTCTTCTGGCCATTTGAGGGACTCTGGAGCTCTCCCAGCTCAGCCCCTGGCTCAGCCTGGGGGTGATCTTGGCTCTCTTAGGAGGATTCAGGGAGAGCAGTGAAGCGTGGGGTGATGAGCAGCATCGTGCTCGTGTCTGGGAGGTGTGCTCCTCCCAGTACAGCCCAGTTGAACCCAGTAACTGCTCCCAGTAACGTGAGGGTGGTTGTTCCTGCAGGGAGTGCAATAACATGGAGATCCAGGTGGACATTGAAGCCAAACCCAGTCACTACCAGCTGACCAGTGGCAGCAGCACAGAGGACTCCCTGCACGTCCACACCCAAATGGCAGAGAACGAGGAAGAGGAGGAGGAAGAGGAAGAGGAGGAGGAGGACGGCAAGCAGGAGCAGACGTGCAAACACCAAAGCTGTGAGCAAAAGGACTGCATTGCCAGCCAGACGTGGGACATCACCCTGGCCCAGCCCGAGAGCATCCGCAGCGACCTGGAGAGCTCGGACAGCCAGTCGGACGACGTGCCGGACATTACCTCGGACGAGTGCGAGTCCCCCCACTGTCAGACTGCAGCTGGCTGCCCACAGACCCCCAGAGCAAGAGGTGCCCAGAGCCCAAGTGCCCACCTGAGCCACTGTGCCCAAGCCGAGGGCTGCCGGCTGGATGAGATGGTCCAGCTGGAGTGCATCGAAGCCAGAGTGTGACCTGAGCGCACTCCCTGGCGCTGCAGCTTCTGGGCCAAACTTGTGTCCCTGTTGGCTTCTGTTTGCCATCCTCCAGCTGGCTCCCCCAGCCTCACCTCGGGGAGTTGCTGTTTGTTACGTGACAGAAAAAAAAAACAAAGAAAAAAAAAAGAAAGGGAAAAAAAAATTCCCCCTCCACCCTCTTTTTGTTTTAATTTATTGGTTCAGACTCTGTGAGGTGTGTAAGAGTGTAAATATGTACGTGTGTCTGTATGTCTGCAACCATCCTAAGGGACTCTTGGAATAAAGACTCTGGTTGTCATTCGACCTGAATCCAGCTCATCCTTTCCGAAGCTGCAGGGAAATCTTCCAGCTGCCTCTGCCCATGTGAATGCTGTTCCCAAAGGCTTGGGAAGAAGAGAGCTCTCTCTTCTCCATCTCCCTGTGCAGCAGGGCTGGGTACAGGTAAAGGGAGGGGAACAGTGGGGAAAAAAGGGCAAATTTCCAGCACTTGAGGGTGTGTGGGAGCTGAGGGTGCTGAGAGCCGTGGCTCAGGTGGGACACTGGGGACCTTTCCCCAGAGCAGTCCCAGGAACCAGGCTTGTCCCTGTTGGACCCCCCAGCCCCTCGGTGTGAGCTGGGGGCTCCTCCCAAAGCCACCCCTGCAAGCCCCTGTCCCCATCCCAGTGTCTGGAATTTCCCTGGAAGCTTCCTGAGGGTGATGGCCACCAAACCAGCTCCTCTGAGTCGCCACTGGGCCAAGTCACCACCCGCCCTGAGCCCTCTGCTTTGCCCTGTCCCTGGCAGTGCTGGGCAGTGTCCCAGCCCCAGGAGCTGCCCTGGGACCCTCCTGGGTGGATCCCAGCCTGCTGCTGAGGTTTTGGGGTGTGCTGGGGAGTGGGGCTGGGTGGGGAAGGGGGGTGAGGAAGCATGGAATGGTGGCTGGGCATGGAGTGGTGAATTGGCACGGCATGTCACGGCACGGCTGCTGGCTTGGCAGCAGGGGGAGGGCAGGGGTGGGACACGGAGGAGAAG